ACCCGAATGTTTTGTGCAATTGAAGGCAAAGTTTTGGCAACCAAGAAGCCCTTACCATGGCTAGAAGTGCTGGGTACGCAAGTGCAAAGGTAGCGCCACCTTTCTACATCGAAACGCGTCACTAGGACCCTAGGCGCCATGGACTTCTAACAGACTCCACCAAACTTAACATGGTCCGCCCACCGTTCGATATCTTGTCTGCGTCGCTGCGTTGATCTGCTATGCTCTCTCTTCTCGGACTTCTCTACCACTCTCCGCGCTCACATTATCTCTCATCTCCCTTCCCTTGGTTTTTCTTCACTTTTTCTCCATTGGCGGTCCACCTCCCATCCCTACTTTCACATTTGAGTGGAATCAACCCATCAATGTAATCCTGATTCTTGCCTTCAATTTACATTGCAGCACACTTCTACATTTATTAGAGGGCCCAAAGTTTGTGGTTTCCGAACATGCTTTGACTTTTGTACAAACTCTCCGAGCAAGAAGCTATGGTCGCTGAAGGAAAGGCAATCAAAAGAAAGAGAATCTTTCGACGGTACTCCAACGAAAAACCTCAAGGAGCCATTTTCGAAATAATGAAGTATCCAGTCACTCCAAAGAGCGTTTGATAGAGCAGATCTTCTAGTATACACGCTTTTGTGAGCAAGTGCACTTGTAGGAGGTTATGGCCTATGGAAATATGAAAACATTGAAAACTGCCGTTTGAAAATGTGAAAACCTTGAAAATTTCTTCACTAATCACCTGGAAACGGCATTTTCTACCTATTTTTTTGCAAATGCACAACACATTAGGCAGCACTTGTCGCGAAACTTCCCAAACCTTCCTTTTGTTTGCAAATTTGTTGATTTTGAAGAAAATATGGTCATTTGAATCCTTGTTCGATTTTCAGTGTGTTCCCCTAGCAGACAAGCTGCTCTAAGGTCATCGCATCGGCCAGGACATCTTTTCAAACATGGAACAATTTTGGAACTTGCGTTTTTCTGCACCATCAGATGACCTCGATATCTTCAGAGCAATCTTATAAGTAGCGATGGAGCGCTGAGAACTACAATTTGCTTTCACAAATTTTCAAAAATGTTCGATCATTGAGTATTTTACTAAAAATTCCAGAAGAGTAAGAATGCGCTGAAAGAAATGCGGAGAAGTTGATTTTGGTGAGATGTCCTTTTTTTGAAATCGATTTTCTTCAGTTACCCTTCCGCGCAATGCAGAACTCACTATGAATATCTCAACTTGTAGAATTGTCGTGCATCGCATGCCTTTAGCATCATAACCGCCTCCATGGAAAACCTATATTCACGAGTTACCAGGTTACTCGATTACTTTTTCGTATTTTTAGACAATTTATTTTAGTTTCAGAGCCTAGGGGCGGAAGTGGTGTAGTGACAAGTGGCGCTTACCACGCGAGCGGTCCGGGATCAAATCCTGGGTCGTGAGTCGCCCGGGCCAACCAAGCCTTCCATCCCTCCGGGGTCGGTTAATTGGTACCAGACTTGTCTGGGAGGATAAAAACACTGACTTGTACATCGGCTGGCCCCCGCAAGTCATTGTATAGGCCACATCGCATTCAAAGAATGCGTGCCGCATCCCAAAAGGGATTGATCAACGGCAAATGCTTTTTATTTTTTTATTTTGGAGCCGGTGCAAAATCATAGGACACCCCTCAGAAGTCTCCTTACTGTTGGATTTTTTTATCCAACCAGCAACGATAGTAGCACTTATTTGGTGTATGGTAACTCTACTAGAGTTACGGTTTGAGTTGCTCTCCTCCCTCCGCGAGTGAAAGCCAGACTTTGCTTTTATACGCGCCTGATGGCTCTACCAGGACCATCGAAGCCATTTTTGGAAGTTCAAGGAAAACCCTTCAGACCGCTTTTACTTGGTAAGGAGGTGCTCAACATTGATGATTCAGATGACGTTGTTCACTAGTAGAGGAATATAGGCCAGGTTTCGACGATATTCCCTCAACGAAATTTTCGTGGTAGTTTCCTAAAGATGAGTGGATGCGTAACCTCATCCTGAGTCCCAGACCTGAAGTTTCACTGGAATGAGTTTACTAGAGAGCAGGAAAGGCGCAGAGAACCAGCTGCTCTCTTCTCTTTCACAGATTTCGCGTAAAAGACTACCTTTTTGACACACCTTGTCATGCGAAGGCTCCAATGAGCCAGTGGTTACAAACTAGCTTAGTGACTTTAATAGAATGGCCAGTAAGGAGTGCGCGTCTGAAATTTGTCGAGACTCACTTGGAGAACCTTTGTTAGCAATGGCTGCGAAAATACTCACAAGATCAACACAATTTCAAAGTTGAAGCAACGGATTCCCCACTGATGAGCACCACTTTGATTTAAATATGTATAAAAATTTGCGGCAGTGTTTCTTGTATGGATAGAGTAATTCTGCTAAGTGGTTCCTTTTGGAATACTAGAGCAATAAGATTCGGGCGTATTTCTGTATTTTTAAGGTTTTGAAGGAGGGTGTCCTATGATTTTGCACCGGCTCCAAAATTAAAAAATTTGTCTAAAAATATGGAAAACTAATCGGATAACCTGGTATTTTGTGAGTATAGGTTTTTTATGAAGGCGGTTCTGATTTTTGGGTTGCTATGAATGTTATGCTATTCTTAGAAGCCGAGGTGTTCATGATTTTTTTTGGAGGTGGGGGTGTCCTATGATTTTGCCGCACTGTACTAGTTGGGAATAGCGCCTTTTACGGTGGTGCACAAATAGCAACAGGTGCATAAGTTCAGGCCCGATTTCCCACCATCCACTGAAAACATTACCACGGCTACGGGCCGTGCAGACTCCCGTGATTACGGACACCTCTTGAGTGAAATATGGTCTTCTAAATGAGGCTCTCGTCACGGATTTTGCCCCACACGTCTCAACCTGCTCTCGACTGCACGCGACATACAGTGGCGCACCTCAGCAAACGTTATAGCGTGTAGGTGCTTACATATTTCAGCGATGTTCAAGCTGTCCTGTAGGTACATCGCCGTGACATACAATGTCAATCACACACAAACATCGTTTTCAATTGAAAGATGAAAGAAAACCAATGAACCAGTTTATGGCGATGCAACTTCGCGTTTTCTAGAATCGCTTGTTCAATCGAAAAAAATTAGGAATTGACAAAAATGACTGGAAAAATGGAACAACGGGAAGAGAGCGGATTATGAACACTTTAGAACATTTCTAGAAGGACATCAACATGACGACAGTAAAAGTAAATACAACAACAAATTGAACGACAAAACAATGTTTATTGTAGGTATTTTATAGAATATACAATGGTTAGCTTCACTTTGCATATGTGATATGCTCAACATTCAGATCATTTGACGGTGGTTTCCTAGAATGGGCAGGTCATGGCCATTGGTGTACGTCCAGTTTGGTTGAATTCAGTTTCAAGTGCTTCAAGTGCTTGTTTGTGCGAAATGAAACTCACAAATCTTTTCCCGTTTTTTGCAAAAAGTTATGAATAAGCTCAATTGGGAATGGAAAGATTATCGTTGAATTCTTCTCGGCGCTGAAAAAAAATGAATACATTTTTTGATCGGCACAATAGGCACAAAACAAATCTCGGCACTAATCTACTATTACAATCCCAAAACCGAAATTCTTAATTCCGTCGAAACTTCGCCTATGTGGGTTATTCCGTGCTCTGATCACCAATATAACCTTTATTTTTGGCGAGTCTGACTAGAGAGAGGGGACAGACAAGCCATTCGACGCCTTTTTCTGTTCGCCTGCGCCCTCTCATTATTGTTTTGGATTGAAGGCTAGGATCAGATTCGAATTAATGTAGCAATTCACTAGTATGGAAGTAGCTACGCAAAATGGACTGCAAAAGGAGAAGAGAGGAAAAGAAATATTCAAAACGCAGAGAACTTGAACCTCATTGCTCTACGTCGCGAAGAATGATAAGAAGCAGACAACAAAATAAGATAATGTTAGTCGCGGAGAGGGCTAAGATGTACGGGTAGGGAATGCATAGCAGGTCAACATTGCGACAAAGGCAAGTCAACGTGCGGTGGGTGGGAACTGCTCATCCCAGGCGGAGATGATGCAATTCCTCAGCGCCTTACACCTTAACGACACGTTTAGAGGCGGTTAACTGTCACGACACTTCAGTGATGGACATAGCACCTCTATTCATGAGAGGCACTTTTCCAGTGAGGATGGGCCTAGGCCACATTTCCTCTAGGGCCAAAGGAGACGGGAAGAGTCATGAAGGGATGAGCCACTCACCCTGCGATCCCACACAATCAACTATGTCTATAGGCGAAGCTTCGACAAGAAGAAAAGGTTGAGATATTGAGGTCGTAGTGATTGAATAGTACCCGAGGCTTTATGGAAATTAGCGCTCGAAGTTCAAGCTCTTATTTGAAGTGCATGTTAGCAGCTCACCTTATACTGTTCAGCGTTTGGAGGTAACGCAGCTGTATTGCGCATGGAGATGACGCAATCTGAAAGTTATTTTTTAACCTTGAAAATAAAGTACGATCTTTTTTGAATTGGCCCATCTGAGTATGAAAGCAACAGTTCGACTTGTCCAGCTCCAAGCCCTTTGAAAGGTTGATCAGCAAACCCACCACATCAGCAGCCTCGCGTAGAGCACGTGATGCCTTCTGCTCTCCTTCAGCGGCGATAACCTGAATGCAAAGAAGTTTTGTCCCAGAAAAGTCCGAGTCCAGCAAGAAAATGGTAGAAAACAGACTTTAGCTCCAGCTTCCCGTGTTGCCTCAGCTTCGGCTGCCATCGCTCGCTGCAATTGCAGTGGCAATCGGACGTCCTTCACCTCAACTCGCTCCACTTTAACTCCCCATGGATCTGTTGCCTCATCGAGTGTGCTCTGAAAAGTGGGAGTTTTTACGAGTGTAAATGACCAGACACCTCCATCTAGTTACCAAGGATTGCTGTCAATGTTTCGGGTTTAGTGAGGACCTGACGATAGGGACACCCTACGTTGGGGAATCCTCAACGATGATGAGGATTTATCCAATTAAATAGGAGGCGTTCTCATGGGATGGGACCAGCACGACCGTTCATAAGGAAGAGGATCGGAAGTGCTGGCATTTGATTACCGGGTGAGTTTTTTTAATATGCAGGAAATTCGATCTTATAGTGAGGTCATTAACGAATTAGAATAGCAAAGGGTAAAACAACAGGCGCTGACCGATCCTCCCTAACAACAAGATGCACCAAGAATTTTTATTTTTTTTTATTTTTTTTTATTCCGTTCAAAATGGAAGTGGCATTTGTATGTGATTTAGCCAGCGCAAGACCTGAGCCAGCTGTTGTAGGTGAGGTGAGGGTTTTGTATTTACAATTAGAGACCAGTCAGGGTCCACAAGCCGATCACAGAAGGATGGGATGCTTGCTTGGCCTTCAAAGATTTCAATTAATGAGGCAAGTGCAGACCGTGCAGGTGGTGAAGGAGCCACTTGCCGCCTTGCCCCTTTTCCACCCTTACGAAGAAATAGTGCGAGGAGTAGAGTTCTCGCAAAAGCGGAATTTACAAGCCGCACTTTTAGCCCACTAAAAATTAAGGTAGAGGTGATCAATGATGCAAAGATGAAAACAATAACGAAAAACGATTCAGCACTCAAAAGATAGGACCCTTTTGTCATCTGATTCGCGCGTTAGGGGTCTCTTGGTGTGCCTCATCAACAATAAAGCTTTTCTCGTAGAGCGGCTAGAGTCAGACGGCGAGGGTGGGCGGAAGGCGGATCGAGCGGCGCGGGTGTGGCCAGCCTAGGACGCCAGGAGCTTATTCATCGCTACAAATCTGCAACGTTTAGGGTTCCTATACTAGATATATTCCCCTTCTTCATCCTCCCTTAATGTAAAGTCCTCCTTTAATCTGTTCACTATTTGCTGCAGCAACTACGGGACCATGAAATGCTACCAGTCGCGATGATGATAACTGACTTCGGAGGGGTGGCAAAAGATAGAAAAGATTAAAACCACAAAACGGATGAAAAATGAATCCGATGATGATTAATCTTCGACCTGCATCTGATGTGAGATGGCTTCCCTATCCGATAACATTTCGGCAAGGGTTCTCGTTCCAAGAATATTCCGTAAGGTCGTCTGTGCTAACAACTTCGTTGAACGTGAAGCGTCCTCCACATTTGTCACCTGAATTTGCAAGTGGCTATACATTAGGTATGTTTATAGTTACAACACAGCATGTTACTGGACAAATCCTAGTAACTGTGTCAATAACTGAATGCAAGTAAAAGAAAAAAAACAGAAAATTTATTGGGAAAGGATTTATTCATATTACATTATATATTATATTGTAAAAGGGCGTACCGAAATTGTAGCATTGGAAATTCGAAAATATACGACAGCATCTACAGCTACAGTGACGGAGTCTTTTGAAAGAATCTGGAAATAATATTTTGAAGTAGCGCATAAGTTCACTTTATGTTTTGGGGCACCACTCCCCAGACCTGGTATTATGGGGGTTCATTCTCCCAACACATGACGCTTCTATTTACTTTTCGCACTTATTGTTTCTCTGCTAACCAAAAAAAAACCAAACAGATCGCTCTGCTTACATACAAAAGATCGACCGTCTATAACCTTCACTTTACCTTGAGAGCAGGGTGAAAATCGGTCGAGGAAACGGCAACGGTTCGTCGAGGATTTTTGCCTGTTCAGCTCTCCGCGCGGACATTCACTCTCGCCATGCGCGAGCCGTCTGTGCTCTCCGCGCGTACATTCACTCTCGGACACTACTCTCGCACAGTAGAGAGCATGGTCGAGGAATTCCTCGACCGTTATTCACCCTGCTTGAGAATGGGAGTGAGGACTTAAACGAGACTTGGGACTTTGAGAAACTTTTTGTAGGTCGACTGTGACGATTGTCTCTACTCTCCCAGGACGGGAGGTGCGGGCGGAAGTGCTTTTGGGCTATGGGGCCGTGCGTCCGAGGATTCATTGTAGCTAGCTGAGGCTTGACTGGAGAAACTATCTAACAGCGCTCCCTAGATCATAACCGCCGACTCGTTCCACTAGCTCCGACCGGATACCCTTGTCACTCCGTACGAGTATCTTGAATTACGTCAAAGGGGGTTGGCGGCCCCTTGTATGACGTCATATATTGAGATGTTATGACACTTTATTCACTGTAACCAGCCTTCCAACTACCACCCACAACTGCATTGACGGCGTTGATATTTCTGATATGATTTGTTGGCTTCGTTCAGTCTTCAGGACTTTGCAAGGAATGTATAATGTTCTGCATAGCTGAAGGGGTTTAAAAGAAAATACAATTTCACAAGATTCGCCACCGGAATCGAAGCCACAAATTTCTAATTGACTATGTAGTTGTCAACTACAATATTACTTATTTGTACAATGCACGAATTCTAGTCTTAGCGGCTCTTGTCGTACCGTGTCGTGAAAATTCTTGATCGATATTCGACTAAGAGCAGAAAGGTGTAATCATTCAAAGTTGATCACTCCCTCTTTTGGATGCGCCGTGAATTCTGTTTCGATCGGAATCGCTGTAGAATTTGAATCGCTTTTTTAAGCTTGAATCTCAAATTTGGATGTGAATCTGAAGGAGGATACGGCGTGTTCCAATGATCAATGGATGACAAGCAAGTCATCCCACCGGAAGAACATGGACCAGCCAGACTGACCTAGGAAGTTCAATCTGGCTCGTGTCCCAATAGGCTTAATTGCCTATTGGGACACGAGCCAGAATTCATTCCTATACCTTCAGTATGAATGAATATCACAGATGGTAAAACTAGCAAGGAGCTGCTTTTTGAATGGAGACCTCAAAGGTGATTTTTCTTCTACGCGGCCAGCAATAAAGCACATTTTTCATCGCACACCATGACCCCCAATATTTTATGGCAGCGTGGACCCTACCAAAAAATACGCCGTTTACAAAATGATCCTAGTTGGCTGATTATCGATTGCGATTCACCGCTTAATTTTTTGAAATGGTCGATAGTCGGGCTGTATTCCAGGAAATAGTGTTCCAAAAAATCCCGTTCCCTTACTCCAACGGTCACAACAATACGCGATTGCTCCTAAAAGGTAGGTAACATTCACCCCTTAAATCTCCACAGTCTTGTTACTACTCTATAAGTTGAAGAAATTAAATTTTATAGGAAATTAGTGGCTCACCTCTTGAGGAGGAACGTCGAATGAGACCACCCTGAGATCAATTTTTTTATACGAGTCGATACATGGCAGTATAAAAAAGATGCCTGAAAAGTGGTTCATGAAAACACATTTCTTCTTGAATTCATTACATGTAATACAGCTAACCAGGTCCCTTTGCTCCTCCCGGCATTAATCGACCGAGTCGAAATATGACTGCACGCTCATACTCTTGAACTACCTGAAAACGGTCACATCATAAAAACAAGCCTCGAGCTAAAATAGGTTTGAAAGAACGTTCAGTAATGAAGCTAAAGTTGGGAAGTGGTCTGGAAAAGAAGATGAAAGCTCCGATTACACCCCGAATAACATCCCCTTATTCAGCCGCATTCGACCATTAGGATAGGGAAAAAAGGGACGTGATGGACGAGTTTCACGAAGCAGCTGCAGGTGCTTCCCTTCAAATGGCATTGAGCTGCAATGGCCGCAACTGCGCCCGCGCTTCTCTAAGCAGCGTCACGTGGCAGCCGAGGCAGCGGAAGGCGGGGCTTGCGGACGAAGGTGTGGATTGCGGGTCGGAGCGAGCTTCTAGCGCCTTTGTCGCGCACTTTCAAGCCGCAAAAGGGGCGCGACATCAACGCTTGTCCGCCTGTCTACTACCTCGGGTATGGAACAGGCGAGCATGCCTAATCCTGGAGCGGGCCTTTAACAACGAGTTCCGTCTTGAAATGCCTTCACCCTCATCACGTTTTCCGTTGAATTACGCCAAAATATTCCTGGAAACCTGGGATGTAGTGCAACAGTCCCATTGTGAGCACAAGGACGGAGATGCAAAGACATCGGTGCCTAGTTGTCTGACGTAGTGTTGCAGTTCAGTGTTGAATCAGTTAGGCTGTAGCAACGAAGGGGCAGGTACACTGCATCTCAGATCTCCAGCAATTCTACGGCCGGTTCCACATAAATAGGAGACTTGTAAACGTGCCCATGTACAATCTTTCGTTTGGGTGAAGATTCATTTTAGCAAAAGTAATAGAAGTGGCAAGCTTCGTATTGATCTCTAGACAACATCATATCATCTTCGCCAGATGAAGGAGATGAAGAAACCAGAAAAGCATAGAAATACAGTGAATCATCGGAAAATGGATGAGTGTGGAAATGGTCTGGTGGCAATTGACACAACTTCTTAAGCGAACAGTCCAGCGTTAAAATCTCGGACTGTATCCGGCTCATGTCAAGCGATCCTTCCGTAACTCCGAGGTCGTTCAGCTAGTATCTAACTTATCTGGGAGGATAAAAATAGTGGCTCGTACATCGACTATCCCTGCAAGTCACTTTGCAGGTCGTACCACATCCGATGCCACTGCGAAAGTGAAAGCAAGGGGAGCTCTCTAAAAAAGACTGCTCAAGGCCGAAAACGTATAATTCCTTCTTTCGATTAGATGAGGATGACGTAAGCAAACCAGCCCTTTTGGCGCTTCGGCTGGGACCGTATGCTGAATGTTGGGGAGGGGATGGAGTCCCCGACGGTGGACGGACCACTTCAACTCGGTCCTTAGAACCGCCACAATTTGGTGCTTACCTCAGAACTAAGCCTTAAAGAGAGGACGGGTCCGTCCCCTCTCCAAGGCTTAGTCCTGGGGTGAGCAAACCAGCCCTTCTGGCGGAGCTGCTGGACCAGCTGCACCACTTGCGTCAGTACTCTCCTATCGTACCAACCGAGTTGAAGTAAACCGTCGACCGTTGGGGACCCCATCCCCTCCCCAACATTCAGCATACGGTCCCAGCCGAAACGCCAAAAGGGCTGGTTTGCTTACCTCGATGAGGATCCCTCTGATGAGATGGGACTAACGCCATGTGTTGGAAGCCCTGCATGTTCGCGAATTTGTGGATATCAAGCATCTCAAGGACAGCAATTTTAAAATCATTAGCAGCATCCCTCATTCTACCTTATCAATACCAAAATGAGATTCGGTAGCAATGCTCCAATAAAGCTGAAAATCATGTAAGCCTTGCAATCCAGAAGAGTGCGTCTTACAGCTAATAGCTAGGTTGCTCACACTATTTCGAAGGAAATATCAAGCCATTATGGCAGAATCTGAGCCAAAATTGAATCCACATAAAGGAAGATATCACATGCGCCATTGTGCCGTACGACATCGTAACCGAACAAAATTCTATTAAGTAGCCCCTGAGCCTCATATCTCGAACCTAATTAAGTCCTCTCGAGCATTTAAATTCAAAATTAAAATCAAAACTAATAGAAAAAAAGTCATACCTTTATACATAAACAAGCAGAAAGTGGAAGTGTAACGGCCACAAATATATATGATAATATCGTTAGTATCCAACTGCACACGGTGAATTCGACGATTTGGTTAGCTGAAAGAATTTCGATTATGTTGATGTTCTACTTGCAGTGCGTTCAAATTAACTACAGAAATTATGGATATGAACTCAGTGTGAGTATTGCCGCAAGTAAAAAGTATCCATGATTGCTTCACTGCTAGCTGGTCCAATCACGCGCAGCCATGGCACGTATTGTGCACCTCTATAGTGATCTAGCAATCAAATGGGGCACCTTAAAAATTTTATGGACGATCAAAGTCTGAACTCAAAGCCAGTGGAAGCTAGTTTGAATGATGTAGAACATTTCTTGCGACCAGCAAAAACGTTTAACTCCGCTATGTTAGCAGAGATGGTGAAGTTTCATTCTTCCCACTTAGTTCCACGTGAAGTTATTAATGCACTCTAACCTTGAGGATCTGGATCTGATTCCGAGCGTCGTGAGCAAGCCCAAAAAGGGCAAGCGACAATGCGCCAAGTGTAGCCTATTGCGCACTATTGTTTTAATGGCCGGCCTTCGCCGTGCCCATGGTGCTTTACCACAGGGATCTAGTCCATACCCACTCATACATATCCGTTCCAGTATCCTGGAATCGGGTACTGTGGGGTGGTGCGTGCGAAAGCAATAGAGTGCACGCGGCCTCACGGTGTCACAGGGCAATATCGAGTGCTGGCCAGAAAATCCATCCTGCAGCAAAGTGGCAATTGCAAATCGGAAGGTACCATATCCTATCCGACCGACTTCACGGATTGTATTAGGAACACTAGATTATTTATTTAGATTTTCTTTACGATTATGGACTTCGATTACCACTGCCTTATTACTTCGTATAAT